AGTATCATCGCATTTGAGTAAGGTAATAGAGAATAATATCAACAGGAAAACATAAGTTGAGGTGTTGTGCTGAATGTCTGCTCTCTGCTCCTATTGGCTGTAATTTGGTGGGTTAACTGTGATTGGTGGACTATATTTTAACCCACCAAATTACAGCCAATAGGAGCAGAGAGCAGTCAGTCAGCACAACACCCCAACTTATGTTTTCCTGTTGATATTATTCTCTATTACCTTCTTCAGAATGCAAACATACTGGAAATGTGATGGGCGGCGGTGTATTTATTTAAAATTGCTTCTCCCAGAGCTCTAAATAGTGCAAAAAAGCTACTGCAACCAGGGCCCTCCCAGGGACGGGAATGCTTGCAGGGATCCTCCCAGGGACGGGAGCTCTCCCAGGGTCTGTGCCATGGGCGGTGGCACCCCTAGAGGTTCTTCCAGGGACATTGGTGCTCTCCCAGGAACAGCAGCGCCTGGAGGCGCCCTGCCAAGGGCAGTAGCGCTGGCCAGGACGCTCCCAGGGGTCCTCCCAGAGATGGCGGTGCCCCCATGGACTCTCCCAGTGACAGCAGCGCCCCAGGGGCACTCCCAGGGACGGCGGCGCTAGAGGGGCCGTTTTGGGAGGACCCTTCAGAGCGCCAATATCCCTAGTAGAATCTTTAGGATATGCGACCACCTTTTTCACAGCCCCTGGAAGCTTTCCCGTCTCTGGGAAGGGTCCCTGGTAAGGTGGCTGGGAGGGTCCTTGAAAGGGCTGCCGTCCCTAGAAGATCCCCTGGGAGCACTGCTGTCCCAAGGAGAGCCCCTGGTGGCGCCAGCGCCCCTGATAAGGCCCACCGTCTCTGGCAAAGCCTCAGGGGACGCCAATGCCCCTTGCAGAACCCCTGGTGGTGCTGATGTACCTGGGAGGGCCCCTGAGCAACCGATGGCCCTGTGAGTGTCCCTGAAGGCGCCACCGCCCCTGCCAAGGCCCCATGGGACGCCAACGCCCAAGGGGACGCCAACACCCCTTGCAGGACCCCTAGGGGTGCTGACGTGCCTGGGAGGGCCCCTGAGCCACCGATGGCCCTGTGACTGTCTGTCAGGGCCCCACCGTCTCTGGCAAGGCCCCAGGGGACGCCAACGCCTCTTTCATGGACCCCTAAAGACGCTGACGTACCTGGGAGGGCTCCTGGGCCACTGATGGCCCTGTGAGTGTCCCTAGTGATGCCACCGCTTCTGGCAAAGCCCCTGGGGGCGCCAAGGTCCCTTGAAGGGCCCCTGGAGGCGCTGATGTCCCTCAAAGGACTCCTGAGACGCCACTGTCACTGGAAGAGTCCCCAAGAGTGCCACAGCCGCTGGGAGGGCCCCTGCAAGCCCTCACGTCCCTGGATAGGTGTCCTTGGCAAGGTGCCTGGAAGGGTCCCTGAGGGCGCTGCCTTCCATCGAAGGCCCCCTGGGAGCACTACTGTCCCAGGGAGAGCCCCTGGTGGCGCCAGCGACCCTGGTAAGGCCTCTGAGGGCCCCACCGTCTCTGGCAAGGCCCCAGTGGAAGCCAACGCCCCAAGGGACGCCAACGCCCCTTGCAGGAACCCTGGGGGTGCTGACATGCCTGGGAGGGCACCTGAGACACTGATGGCCCTATGAGTGTCCCTGAGGGCCCTACCGTCTCTGGTAAGGCCCTAGGAGACGCTAACGCCCCTTCCAGGACCCCTGGGGGTGCTGACGTGCCTGGGAGGGCCCCTGAGCCACCGATGGCCCTGTGAGTGTCACTGAGGGCCCCACCATCTCTGGCAAGGCCCCAGGGGACGCCAATGCCCTTTCCAGGACCCCTAAAGGCGCTCACATGCCTGGGAGGGCCCCTGGGCCACTGCTGGCCCAGTGAGTGTCCCTGGTGGTGTTACCGCATCTGGCAAAGCCCCTGGGGGCGCCAAGGCCCCTTGCAGGGCCCCTGGAGGCGCCGATGTCCCTCAAAGGACTCCTGGTATGCCACTGTCACTGGAAGAGTCCCCAGGGGTGCCACAGTCCCTGGGAGGGCCCCTGCAAGCCCTCCCATCCTTGGGAGGTTTCCTGCAAGCACTCTAGTCCCTGGGAGGGCCCCTGGTTGCAGTAGCTTTTGCACTATTTAGAGCTCTGGGAGAGGCAATTTTAAATAATTACACCGCCACCCATCACATTTCCAGTATCTTTGCATTCTGAAGAAGGTAATGGAGAATAATATCAACAGGAAAACATAAGTTGGGGTGTTGTGCTGACTGACTGCTCTCTGCTCCTATTGGCTGTAACTTGGTGGGTTAAAAAATAGTCCACCAATCACAGTTAACCCACCAAATTACAACCAATAGGAGCAGAGAGCAGTCGTCCTTCTTCTCTTCAAAGTAGGCAGCAGTGTATGACTGACCCCAGCTTGCTACGTCAGAGCTCGTAGCACAAAAATTACTGCAACCCTGGGCCCTCCTAGGGATGGGAGTGCTCTCAGAGGCTCTCCAAGGGAGGGCAGCGCCCCCAGGGACTCTCCCAGGGAAATCGGCGCCCAAGAGGCCCTCCCAATGACGTTGGCGCCCACAGGGGCCTTGCAAAGGGTGGTGGCGCCCTCAGGGGCTTTGCCAGGGGCGCTGGCGTCCTCAGGGGATCTTCCTGGGGCAGACTCACTCCCAGGGACCCTTGCAGGGACGGCAGTGCCTCCATGGGCCTTGCCCGAGAGGTTAGCGCCCCCAGGGGCTCTCTCAAAAACATCGGCGCTCACAGGGGCCCTGGCAGGGTCTGAGGCGCCCCCAGGGGCTCTCTCAAGGACATCGACGCTCACTGGGGCCCTGCCAGGGTCGGACGCCCACAGGGGCTCTCCCAGGGACAACGGTGCTCCCAGGGGCCCTCTCAGGAGCGGTGGTGTTCCCAGAGGCTATGTCATAGACATCAGAGCTTCCACGGAAAGCGCCGACCCCAGGGACCGTATCAAGGGTCTGCAGGGGCCCTATGGCATGCTTGTCCGTCGTATCATATATATTACATACTTCCAGCAGTCCCTTACTTAACTGTGATTGGTGGACTATTCTCTTAACCCGCCAAATTACAGCAAATAGGAGCAGGGAGGGTCCCTGCAATCACTCCAGTCCCTGGGAGGGGCCCTGGTTGCAGTAGCTTTTGCACTATTTAGAGCTCTGAGAGAAGCAATTTTAAATAAATTCACCGCCGCCCATCACATTTCCAGTATCTTTGCACTCTGAAGAAGGAAATGGAGAATAATATCAACAGGAAAACATAAGTTGGGGTGTTGTGCTGAATTTGGTGGGTTAAAAAATAGTCCACCAATCACAGTTAACCCACCATATTACAGCCATTAGGAGCAGAGAGCAGTCATTCAGCACAACACCTCAACTTATGTTTTCCTGTTGATATTATTCTCCATTACCTTCTTCAGAATGCGATGATACTGGAAATGTGATGGGCGGTGGTGTATTTATTTAACGCTGCTTCTCCCAGATCTCTAAGTGGCACAAAAACTACTGCAACCATGGGCCCTCCCAGAGACAGGAGCGCGTGCAGTGATCCTCCCAGGGACGGGAGCTCTCCCAGGGCCTGTGCCATGGGCGGTGGCACCCCTAGAGGCTTTTCCAGGGACATTGGCACTCTCCCAGGAACAGCAGCGCCTGCAGGGGCCCTGCCAAGGACAGTAGCGCTGGCCATGACGCTCCCAGGGGTCCTCCCAGAGATGGCGGTGCCTCCATTGACTCGCCCAGTGACAGCAGCGCCCCAGGGGCCCTCCCAGGGATGGCGGCGCCAGAAGGGCCGTTTTGGGAGGGCCCTTCACAGCGCCAATATCCCTAGTAGAGCCTTTAGGATATGCTACCACCCCTGGCACAGCCCCTGGAAGCGTTCTCGTCCCTGGGTAGGGTCCCTGGCAAGGTGCCTAGGAGGGTCCCTGAGGGCGCTACCGTCCCTAGAAGGCCCCCTGGGAGCACTGCTGTCCCAGGGAGAGCCCCTGGTGGCGCCAGCGCCCATGGTAATGCCTCTGTGGGCCCCACCGTCCCTGGCAAGGCCCCAGGGGACGCCAAAGCCTCTTGCAGAACCCCGAGGGGTGCTGACGTGCCTGGGAGTGCCCCTGAGCCACTGATGGCCCTGTGAGTGTCCCTGATGGCGCCACCGCCTCTGGCAAGGCCCCGGGGGACGCCAACGCCCCTTCCAGGACCTCTAAAGGCGCTGACGTCCCTGGGAGTGCCCCTGGGGCGCTCCTGTCACTGGATGAGTCAATGGGGGCACCGCCATCTCTGGGAGGACCCCTGAGAGCATCCTGGCCAGCGCTACTGCCCTTGGCAGGGCCCCTCCAGGCGCTGCTGTTACTGGGAGAGCACCAATGTCCCTGCAAGAGCCTCTAGGGGTGCCACTGCCCATGGCACAGGCCCTGTGAGAGCTCCCATCCCTGGGAGGATCCCTGCAAGCATTTCCGTCCCTGGGAGGGCCCTGGTTGCAGTAGTTTTGCTCTATTTACAGATCTGGGAGAAGCAACGTTAAATAAATACACCACCGCCCATCACATTTCCAGTATCATCGCATACTGAAGAAGGTAATGGAGAATGATATCAACAGGAAAACATAAGTTGAGGTGTTGTGCTGATTGACTGCTCTCTGTTCCTATTGGCTGTAATTTGGTGGGATAAGAGAATAGTCCACCAATCACAGTTAAGTAAGGGACTGCTGGAAGTATGTAATATATATGATACGATGGACAAGGATGCCATAGGGCCCCTGCAGACCCTTGGTACGGTCGCTGGGGTCGGCGCTTTCCCTGGAAGCTCTGATGTCTATGACATAGCCTCTGGGGACACCATCGATCCTGAGAGGGCCCCTGCGAGCACCCTTGTCCCTGAGAGAGCCCCTGTGGACGCCTCCGACCGTGGCAGGGCCCCTGGTATACCACTGTCCCTGGCAGGGCCCCTGTGAGCGCCGATGTCATTGACAGAGCCCCTGGGAGCGCCAACTTCTCGGGCAAGGCCCATGGAAGCACTGCCGTCCCTGCAAGGGCCTCTGGGAGTGAGTCTGCTGCAGGAAGATCCCCTGAGGACACCAGCGCCCCTTGCAAAGCCCCTGAGGGCGCCACTGCCTCTGGCAAGGTCCCTGAGGGCACCACCACCCTTTGCAAGGCCCCTGGGGGCGCCGACGTCACTGGGAGGGCCTCTTGGGCGCCGATTTCCCTGGGAGAGTCCCTGGGGGAGCCGCCGTCCCTGGGAGAGCCTCTGAGAGCACTCCCATCCCTAGGAGGGCCCAGGGTTGCAAAAGTTTTTGTGCTATTTAGAGCTCTGGGAGAAGCAGCAATAAATAAATACACAGCCGCCCATCACATTTCCAGTATCATCGCATTTGAGTAAGGTAATAGAGAATAATATCAACAGGAAAACATAAGTTGAGGTGTTGTGCTGAATGTCTGCTCTCTGCTCCTATTGGCTGTAATTTGGTGGGTTAACTGTGATTGGTGGACTATATTTTAACCCACCAAATTACAGCCAATAGGAGCAGAGAGCAGTCAGTCAGCACAACACCCCAACTTATGTTTTCCTGTTGATATTATTCTCTATTACCTTCTTCAGAATGCAAACATACTGGAAATGTGATGGGCGGCGGTGTATTTATTTAAAATTGCTTCTCCCAGAGCTCTAAATAGTGCAAAAAAGCTACTGCAACCAGGGCCCTCCCAGGGACGGGAATGCTTGCAGGGATCCTCCCAGGGACGGGAGCTCTCCCAGGGTCTGTGCCATGGGCGGTGGCACCCCTAGAGGTTCTTCCAGGGACATTGGTGCTCTCCCAGGAACAGCAGCGCCTGGAGGCGCCCTGCCAAGGGCAGTAGCGCTGGCCAGGACGCTCCCAGGGGTCCTCCCAGAGATGGCGGTGCCCCCATGGACTCTCCCAGTGACAGCAGCGCCCCAGGGGCACTCCCAGGGACGGCGGCGCTAGAGGGGCCGTTTTGGGAGGACCCTTCAGAGCGCCAATATCCCTAGTAGAATCTTTAGGATATGCGACCACCTTTTTCACAGCCCCTGGAAGCTTTCCCGTCTCTGGGAAGGGTCCCTGGTAAGGTGGCTGGGAGGGTCCTTGAAAGGGCTGCCGTCCCTAGAAGATCCCCTGGGAGCACTGCTGTCCCAAGGAGAGCCCCTGGTGGCGCCAGCGCCCCTGATAAGGCCCACCGTCTCTGGCAAAGCCTCAGGGGACGCCAATGCCCCTTGCAGAACCCCTGGTGGTGCTGATGTACCTGGGAGGGCCCCTGAGCAACCGATGGCCCTGTGAGTGTCCCTGAAGGCGCCACCGCCCCTGCCAAGGCCCCATGGGACGCCAACGCCCAAGGGGACGCCAACACCCCTTGCAGGACCCCTAGGGGTGCTGACGTGCCTGGGAGGGCCCCTGAGCCACCGATGGCCCTGTGACTGTCTGTCAGGGCCCCACCGTCTCTGGCAAGGCCCCAGGGGACGCCAACGCCTCTTTCATGGACCCCTAAAGACGCTGAAGAAAGCGTGCCTGGGAGGCTTGCAAGCCCTCACGTCCCTGGATAGGTGTCCTTGGCAAGGTGCCTGGAAGGGTCCCTGAGGGCGCTGCCTTCCATCGAAGGCCCCCTGGGAGCACTACTGTCCCAGGGAGAGCCCCTGGTGGCGCCAGCGACCCTGGTAAGGCCTCTGAGGGCCCCACCGTCTCTGGCAAGGCCCCAGTGGAAGCCAACGCCCCAAGGGACGCCAACGCCCCTTGCAGGAACCCTGGGGGTGCTGACATGCCTGGGAGGGCACCTGAGACACTGATGGCCCTATGAGTGTCCCTGAGGGCCCTACCGTCTCTGGTAAGGCCCTAGGAGACGCTAACGCCCCTTCCAGGACCCCTGGGGGTGCTGACGTGCCTGGGAGGGCCCCTGAGCCACCGATGGCCCTGTGAGTGTCACTGAGGGCCCCACCATCTCTGGCAAGGCCCCAGGGGACGCCAATGCCCTTTCCAGGACCCCTAAAGGCGCTCACATGCCTGGGAGGGCCCCTGGGCCACTGCTGGCCCAGTGAGTGTCCCTGGTGGTGTTACCGCATCTGGCAAAGCCCCTGGGGGCGCCAAGGCCCCTTGCAGGGCCCCTGGAGGCGCCGATGTCCCTCAAAGGACTCCTGGTATGCCACTGTCACTGGAAGAGTCCCCAGGGGTGCCACAGTCCCTGGGAGGGCCCCTGCAAGCCCTCCCATCCTTGGGAGGTTTCCTGCAAGCACTCTAGTCCCTGGGAGGGCCCCTGGTTGCAGTAGCTTTTGCACTATTTAGAGCTCTGGGAGAGGCAATTTTAAATAATTACACCGCCACCCATCACATTTCCAGTATCTTTGCATTCTGAAGAAGGTAATGGAGAATAATATCAACAGGAAAACATAAGTTGGGGTGTTGTGCTGACTGACTGCTCTCTGCTCCTATTGGCTGTAACTTGGTGGGTTAAAAAATAGTCCACCAATCACAGTTAACCCACCAAATTACA